AAATTTTGGGGGGGGGGGGGGGGGGGAGTTCCCTAAAAGGTAATTTGTTTTGGTCCAGCATATTCTTTGTTCCACATTTTTTGGCCAGCTCTACTGTGTTTCTCAGTCTGCGAGCTAGAGAACAACACTGACCTCAGTGAACAATCCCATCTTTACTACACCTGAGTCCTAGCTCCTGAGCTACACGGCACTTCGAATAAGTTATCCAGCAAATGCAACCCTTTATTCGGTGTCTCATTTTCAAACTGATCCTGTTTTCTGACACTCAGTCAGTAGCTTGCAAGTATGCCCCAATTTATATGAACAAATGTAAGTCATGGTGGGTTTGGGAACTGTACATTCGGTGATGTGTGATTGGTCACCTAAATCACATGGCATTGTTTCTATCCCCGACTGGATGATTAGCTTCTCAAACAAGAGAACAACAAATGAAATAGCCTATGTTGATTGCAGGCAACTATGCAAATAAGGACTAGAAATTCCTCAAACATCCATGCCAACAAAAACCCATGCAAAACTTCAAGAATAACCAGTAATAAGGAGCATGACCATGGCCCAGCCCAAAACTCTTTGGAAGCTGACTGGACATTCATTAACTCTGTTTTGGCAATTGTCGTCAGCTCTCCAGAAAAGTGTGACTTCAGAGGGGGAACTGGTAATGTGAGCAGATGAATTTTTGAGAGAACAAAAGATCCTGTTTTCTTGCAAATACTCCTAGGAATAAAAATAAAATAGAACAGAACTTTTAAAACTGATGCCTGCAGTAGTCAAATGCTCACAGTTTTCTATGTGACATCTTGGCTCTGTAAAGCCGTATTGGCCAGTGCAACCTGCAAATGAGAGAACAGTAGGAAAGCATTTGAGAGTGAGAGGGGAAATGGGTTGGGACGGGATCCAGAGAAGGAGCTTTCGTAAACAGGCCAGCAAAACAAAAAATGTACCACTCCTGCTGAATAGCATCAGAACAGAGCAACCTTTCAGCTTCAACTAGACTCCCCAGACACTGAGGAGAGATGAACTGGAACGGTTCAAAACAAACACCCACTTGTATCAGTTGCTTTTCTTGATCTGTTTAAAAGGACAGCAGTACCTTAAGGTGCCTTGACTCATAACAGTGGCCCGCTTGTATCTCACAGGTTCGTCTTTCCAATCAAGGTTTGTAGTAAGGACCATCCAACAATTTTGCACAAGGAGGATAGCTTCCTATTTATACATAACCACCAGTCTGAAGTGAAGCCAGAGCTTAAGGAAGAAGTGGAACGGGAAGTCAGCGCTGCAAGAGGCAAGGATCTGTTTGCTTTGCAGTGTGCCGGGACCTACTCTGTATCTACCATCCCATTTTGATCTCTAGATGTCACTAGAGGTAGCTAGACCTCTTGAAGAAGAAGGGAAGCCCGTTGAGATTGGGAGATGTTTTGTAGAGAAGGGAGATTTGTGAAAAGGCCAGTACACACAGATGGGGATTTCAATTTCCCAGATATATTTTTACACTTTCTTTTTATTTATTATAATCCAGAATGTATTACTGCAGAATATTAATGAACTAGCAAGACCCATGGACCTCACCTGTTATCCATGTTGGGAACACGCGTGTTCTCTCAGCAACCTCCCATACAATTCATTGATCTTCTTTGTCAATTTTCTTTGCTGGGCTTCTTTAATTTTCAAATTAATTTAATTCTTTCCGTTTATTATTGTTTTTTAATTCAATCCTTTCTGGCACATGCTGTGTTGTATGCAATGTGATCCTTATGCTTATCCACCTCCTTAGCTGAGATTTTTACTGTAATCCTCTCATTTTTGAGGTGTTTTGTTTTTATTTTTCTGAATAAAAAGCTTTACTGAACAAATAGATGCAATGTCCCTGTTGCACCTAAGTCATCCTTCCCTGAACAGAGGGGGGCAGTGGAGTTCAGGGGGTAAGAGCACAGAACTGGGGACCAGGACTCTGGCACACCTCTGAGCGGTATACCTCATTGAAGTCAGGGTGGAGTTCGCTGCAAGACTGGGGCCTTCCTGCCCTGACCCTGGGCAAACCACTCAGCCTTGCTGTGCCTCAGTTTACACATGTGTAAAATAGATCTGACATGTACGTCAGACACTATGGCAATAATCATAGAATATCAGGGTTAGAAGGGACCTCAGGAGGTTATCTAGTCCAACCCCGTGCTCAAAGCAGGACCAATCCCCAATTTTTGCCCCAGATCACTAAGTGGCCCCCTCAAGAATTGAACTCACAACCCTGAGCTATCGCTATCCCTCCCCCCTCCATAAGGCTGCTGTAGAGAGGCAAAGCATCATGTAATCACCAAGTATGATTATTTTAGCTGGAGCATGGGGTAGCTTCATCAGTGACCACTTGTCACGTGCCTTGAGATCCTTTGATGGAAGGCACTATAGAAAGGCACTAGCCCAGACTCCAGTTTCCAACAAGGCAGCAGACGCTGCTTCAGAGGATGGTGCAAGAAATGCTGCCATGGACAAGTAGGAAATAACTGTTCCTAGGACAAGACTCCTCCTAGTGCCAGCCAGTTAGGCCCTGATCTGCAACCTCCTCCAGGTAGGCAGAGCCCTCTGCCCTGTCCGCTCACACATCCAAGGCTTTAGTGACGGAGCTCTGGCCTTAAAGAGGAGGTGCAAACCTGTAGGGCTGCTGGCCTGTCTTCCCAGCCCTGGAGGAATAGCTCCACACCCACAGCCTGCTCAGGCCCCTCTTCAGGGCAATTTCATGCTTTAGACATAAAACTCACAGAGTAACACCAAGTCACAGCTAATTCCTCTGACCAACGCAGGCTGCAGGTTCCAGAGGCCTTTCCCCATGGGAACCTGGGGCCTGCCACAGGAACCAGCTTCTTCCAGGCAGCTCTTCAGCAGAGCTCTCTCAGCCCTTTATAGGAACCACCTGACCCCTTCCCAGCTGGGCCTGGTGATCCTGTCTGCCAGGCCCAACTACCTGATCTTAGCGGGGCTCTAGCTCTGAACAGGACTGTCTAGCACCAGGTCCTGCTACCCTGTTACAAGACCTCAGATCCTTTTAATCTTACTTAGTGTGACTTTCATTTTATTTTACCCTGCGTGACGTGGCTCAGATTCAGCGACAAGCAAAAGTTTAGGTTCCCCAGAAAGAAATGTCTTGCTTTCCTAGGTTGTTTCAATCACCCATCTCGGCCCGTCCCAGGTCTGCTACATTAACTAGTGAATCCGTTTTGATCTGATCTGACCCACCTGGGGCCTCCTAGCCCAGTGGCCTCCTTGGGGGCCATGAGCAGGTTTCAAGGGTCCACCAAGCCCGACCAGTGTTAAACTCACTGGGGTTCCAGTCAGAAAGCCTAAGCCCTGCTAAGCGGGGCTGAAGCCCGGGGCCCTGAGCCCATCCCTTGGGGCTGAAGCAGAAGCCTGAGCAACTTAGCTTCGTGGGATGCCCTGTGGCATGGGGCCCAGGGCAGTTGCCCGGCTTGCTATCCCTTACCGTCGGCCCTGGCTTTGATATGTAGAAAACAGTTGTTGTGGCACAGGTGGGCCGTGGAGTTTTTATAGCATGGGGGGCAGGGGCTCAGAAGGGAAAAGGTTGAGAACCCCTGTCCTAGCCCTTTGGACAGTCCTAGTCCCTCATCCTTTCATATTGATTCTAGACATCTTCTCCAGCCTCTACTGATGCGAACCTGCCACCTCTTCCTCAAGGGAAAACCCACCATGGGCATTCAGAACGCTCCCTGGCTAGGAGAGAGGCAAAGCCCATTGAAGTCGATGGACAAGTGACAGAGGTCGAGGACCTGCTCCAATAGATTGATGAGGTAAAGGGTGTCTAAAAGTAATGAGCTCTACAGCTGAGTGACATCCATGGAAAATACAACTGCCAGGCCCCATTACTGGTGTCAATACAAGCATTTAATCCACCCATTCTAACAAGCATCCTTGGGGTTTCCAGGTTCCACACACAGCAAAGAACTTCCTCTTTCTCTCCAAATTAGCAATCTGTCCAAGGGGATCGCTTGTGTTCCCACTTGCATCTGAAGAAGTGAGGTTCTTACCCATGAAAGCTTATGCTCCCAATACTTCTGTTAGTCTTAAAGGTGCCACAGGACCCTCTGTTGTGTTCCCACTGTGACACTTCCTAGATCCCGTGTGCCCTGTTGAACGGCACGGGCTCTGACCCAGCAACGCAGGGAGGGAAAAGGACGAGAACATGGAGGAAGTGAGGAGCTCTTCCAGATTAAATGCAATAACCCTAGAAGAGATTCCAGCAGGCACCACAATGTCCCCTCTGTTTGCGACCTCGAGGATGCCAGCAACAGGAATCAAACTGAAAAAGATGAGAGGTCCATGGAAAGGAAACTGGTCATGAAATGCTGGAAGATAAACTGTCCACAGCGTGAAAGAGCTGCTGGTATCAGATGGAAAGCTGTCATAACTATAAAGGGAAGGGTAACAACTCTCCTGTATACAATACTGTAAAATCTCTCCTGGCCAGAGGCACCAAAATCCTTTTACCTGTAAAGGGTTAAGAAGCTCGGGTAACCTGGCTGACACCTGACCCAAAGGACCCATAAGGGGACAAGATACTTTCAAATCTTGGGGTGGGAGGGGAGAGGAAGGCTTTTGTTTGTGCTCTTTGTTTTGGGGGTTGTTCGCTCTTGGGACTAAGAGGGACTGGACATCAACCCATGTTCTCCAAATCTTTCTGAACAAGTCTCTCATATTTCAAACTTGTAAGTAACAGCCAGGCAAGGCGTATTAGTTTATCTTTGTTTTCTCAATTTATGAATTTTATCTTGCTAGAGAGAGGTATCCCTGTTTTGTTGTAACTTTGAAACTAAGTCTAGAGGGGGTTCCTCTGGGCTCTTTGAATCTGATTACCCTGTAAAGTTATTTTCCATCCTGATTTTACAGAGATGATTTTTACATTTTCTTTTTAATAAAATCCTTCTTTTAAGAACCTGACTGATTTTTCCATTGTCCAAAGACC